CCCCACTCCTCTCCCCGTCCCTCTCCAATCCAAAGAGCAGTCAGGGTTCCCTGCCCTGTGGAAAGTCCAAGGTCCTCCCCCCTCCGTCCATGTCTAGGAAGGTGAACATCCAAACTGGCTAGGCTCCCACCAAGCCGGAACATGAAGTAGGATCAAAACCCCTTGCCATTGACCTTGGCTTCTCATCAGTCCTCATTCCAGAACTCATTCTTAACAGTTATGAAGAGTATACACAGCTGTTTATAAAGATTAAAAACCTTAGAATATTCTCATTTTTCTTTTTGTTTTTTTTTGTTTTTGTTTTGTTTATCAACCAGGTTTCTCTATGTAATAGCTCAGACTGTCCTAGAACTCACAGAGATCCACCTGCTTTTGCCTCCTGTGTGCTAGGATTAATGGCGTGTTTCATCACTTACCAGCTTCCTATTTTTCTTTAATTGTTTCTTTTTTCAAATGTGTCCTAGTGACATACTCATTTTCCTAGCTAATACTTCACATGCTGGTTCAGTGTTCAGCCCATGGCTGCTCAGACCCAGGCACCTGGGCAGAACACCACAGTGGCAGGAGGAAGTGGTGGAGGAGCAAGCATCTTTACCTCATGGCAGACAAAACCTGAGCCACGAGGGCTTTGTCTAGGTGACTCCAGCTGTACTTTATGTTGTAAGTTTGTTAAACACAAATGCTATCTAAAAACATGAGCTGTAAAGAAATCTTAATTCTCTAAATAGCAATGTGTTCCAGTACATTTTCTACCAAAAAAATTTACAAAGGCTGGCTTTTAATTTTAAAAGTACAATTCAACAATTCCTTCTTGCACAACTACACAGACACTGAAACAGATTCAACATACATTTTCATTGAGTTTACTTGCTTCAAGGCGCATCCTGGTCTTCTCCATGTTTTCAATTTCTTGGACTATTTCAGCAGCTATTAAAATAAGAACAAGAAAAAAATCCACTTACTCTATGTCTATGTGAGGTTTTAACAACAGAGAAAGACAGGTGTATATAAACGCAAATTCCTATCTTCTTTTTTCAAATTTCCAAAAATAAGTGTGGTGGTTTGAAGAAGAATGGCCTCCATTGACTCATAAATTTGAATGCTAAGGTCCCCAGTTAGTGGAAATGTTTGGGAAGGATTAGGAGGTGTGGCCTTGTTGGAGGAGGTGTGTCACTGGGGACTGGGTTTTCACAAAGGCCCAGTTAGGCCCAATCTCTCTCTCTCTCTCTCTCTCTCTCTCTCTCTCTCTCTCTCTGCCTGAAACTTGCACATGAGATGTGAGCTCTCAGCTACTACACCAGTGCCATGCCTGCCCGTCTGCCACCCCCCCCCCATCCCCACCATAATGGTCATGATTGCTTTGCTCTCAGTGTTTCATCACAACAACAGTAATTAAAACAGTAAATCTAGCAACATTTCAAAGTAAAACATTAAAAAAAGAATGTGGAGTTTTAATTTCCAACTCTTTTACATATCAAAATAAAACTGTAAGAAATACATGCTATTTTTGCCTTCTCTCTTGAATATATAAACAGCAATTCCAAAGAAATATGAGAATTAATTTACACTATGAGCTAAACTAAAACTCCAATATAGTAAATATTGAAACTTGCCAAGAAGAAAGATCTGCAAATACCAGGGGAAATGTCCCTGCCTCCAAAACAAGTATCCATAGACAGTTTTACTTATTTTTTTTTTTTTGGTTTTTTTTTTCTTTTTTTTTGGAAACAGCGTTTCTCAGTGGATTTGGAGCCTGTCCTGGAACTAGCTCTTGTAGACCAGGCTGGCCTCAAACTCACAGCGATCTGCCTGCCTTTGCCTCCCTAGTACTGGGATTAAAGGCGTGTGCCACCACCATCCAGCTCTTTAAACAGTTTTAAATCACCCATAGCAGGAGACCACTCATTAAATGGCTCCCTTTAAACATAAACAGTGCAGATTTTGCAAAAGCTGTCTTTCGGTACCAAAAGTCAATCTATTTAAGTGCATGAGGTACATAATAAGAACTGACAATCATTTATATTCATTTATATGTAAAAAGATATTAAGTCTGTAATTTACTTCAAAATATTCTATGCAGAGGCTTTAAATGGTAGACAAAAAAACTAGGATGGCTTGACAATTGGTTACATTGTAGGGTTGACAGTTGGTTGCATTCCATGGGTGAAATTAGAGTACTTCTTATCAACTGGCTCTTACACTCCTCATTCAATCTCCCTCAACACCCACCTCAACCTCCCCTTTGTATCAACTTCAAATAATCCTACTAAAGTTTATTTAAATTCAAAGCAACTGCTTCACTTAAACAAAATAGTTTCTTTTCCAAGCACTGATATGTATCTGCCTCCTTAATTTTGTAGGGCTGGTTGAAACAATATAAACAGTATCATCTGTGAACAAGAACTGTTCATTTCCTTGTGAGCTTACTGAGTTACAGTATAATAGAAAAGCAAAAGCATTTACATTCTATCCCATGCATTAATACAAGTACCATTCAAGACATCTGGCACACTCTACAATAGTAAGAAAATTATACTACGGTGGGCACAAGTTAAGGGTTTAAGCTGTTTTCAGAAATATTTCTGATTCTGTTTAGGGTGTAGAGAACTAACAATACTATCACCCTCACTATAATGACAAGGAAACACTAACAAGCTATCCAACTATAATTTTGCTTGAATCCATCAGAGTTAAAGTCAAACAGCAACTACATGTGCTAAAACCCCAAAACAGGTGGCAAGATTAGGAGCGATTATGACCATCAGATGACAAAATGAAATGACTGTACATCTGAGTAAGATCATGGCTAAACTTTTTGATAGATTACAAAAGGCCCGGCGTGGCTACCAAGAAAACGTAAAAAGGAAACAACAACAAAAACACAACTGAGCTCAGACACAGGAACATCAATGGCAGGCTGTTTCTACAGAATGTCAGCACTCCCATGTTTCTGCTACCTAGCACAATGAGATGGTGGAAGTCTCAGCTGCACATTCAGCCTCATAAATACTGCCATGCCTTCCCCTCATGTCAATCAATCAATGAGACAAAATAAATCTTCCTCTTTAAGTTGTTTCTTCTCAAGTATTTGGTCACACAGTAAAGGAAAGTAACTAATACCAAAAATATTAGTACAGAACAAGCTGGGCTTGGAGGTGCATGCCTTTAATGCCAGTTCTTGGAAAGAAGAGGCTGGTAGACCTCTGACTTCAAGACCAGTTTGGTTTACAAAGCGAGTTCCAGGATAGCCAAGGCTACACAGAAAAACTCTATCTTGAAAAAACAAAACAAACAAAGAAATCGGCACAGAGGGCCTGGAGAGATGCCTTAGTGGTTATGAGCAGTGGTTGCTCTTCCAGAAGATCCAGGCTTGATTCCCAGCACCCACAAAGCACTCACAACCATTTGTAGCTCCAGTTCCAGAAGATTTACCCAATACCCTCCTATGATCTCTATGGACACACATACATAAACACAAATAAGTAAATAAATAAGCAAATATTTAATATCTTAGAGAGAGAGAAGACAGAAAGACAGAAAGACAGAAAGACAGAAAGACAGAAAGAAAGAAAGAAAGAAAGAAAGAAAGAAAGAAAGAAAGAAAGAAAGAAAGAAAGAGAGAGAAAGAGAGAGAGAAAGAGAGAGAGAAAGAGAGAGAGAAAGAAAGAACAGAAAATGGAGTCACTGTGACAAACGGCCATGTGGTTCACTGGCCTTTGGAAATAACATACAGAAGGACTGTGCAAGAGTGTGAGGCTGCAGGTTAAAGTGCTAGAATCCTTTAAGTGCAGCTTGATAGGCCATTGGTGGGAAAGAAGAAGACCAGAATGCTGAAATGTAGACAATGAAGACTGTATTCAAGAGGTTTCAGAGGGCAACAAGAGCTCTACTAGAACTAGGACAAGAGTTGAGGCCATTTGTGTAATACTCTAGCCAAGAATCTGACTGCATTCTGCCAGTCTTGACTATGTCAGTAGGGCTGAAGTAAAAAAATCATGGATTACTTTGTTTGGTGGAGGAAATCTTACAATAGTACAACATTGGGGCTATGGCATGGCTACTGCTCAATGCAGCTATCCTAATTCTCAGAAAATAGAACAAAAAATATAAAAAACGTGCAATTTGAAAAGAAAGGAGCTTGAACCTGGGTAAAGCAGTGGACAGAAATGTAGTGGAGCAGAAAAGAGCTCTAATCACAAAGGCACTGGAACAGGGATGAACTTGTGGCTATTACCCAACTCACTCAGCTCAAGGACACAGAGTAAATAGACAGTAGGCAGATGTATGGAGACAACCATACCTGGGAGGAGGGGATTCTAGAATTTTGACCGTATTCTCAGGAGACATTTTCACTTCAAAAATTTATCATACCATGCACTTTTCTGTTTTTTATATCACTCTTCATTTTTTCAATTCTAAATGTTCTTACCTATTAAAGAACTCCAAAATGTATGCATGGTCAAGTGAAAACAACATGGAGAATATTGACATTTTTATGAATCAGTACCAACTAAGGATGTCTGTTTATGTATGTATCATAATCATAATGGAAATATCTAAGGAGTTCTAAGTGCTTGCTGAGGTACTGTACTTGATATCTGAATGCATCCTATCATCTCAAAAACATGCAGCATGTAGGATTATAATCCTCAATTTACAGATGAGAAAATTAAAGTACAGAGATACGACTTATTCACAGTCACTCAGCATAAACTAGGAGGACTGCAGGCCTCCAGATCACTCTTTACCACCATGCCACCTCTGGAGAGATACTCAAAAAACTGGCAATAGTGATTCCTCTGCGAAGGGAACTGGGGCCAGGAGACAGCCTGAGAGGATGATGGCCTTAGCAGTGTTCTCCAGGTAGCTCTCGAAGGGATTCACCTGCATATCTTACCTGCTGCCAAAAAGGTACTTATTTAAATTCTTTCTGTGGTTTATAATCTCTGAGCCACACGCTTCTTTATCCAAAGATGAGAACAGATGTATTACTTTACCTGATTTAGGATGCAAAGCATCACATTGGGAATTATACATGTGTACAAATTCTTGGTGCCTTTTAATAAGCTGCTGCTTGTTTCCTTGAATGGATAAGCCATACTGTTTCAACTTTTTCTTTAAATCACGATCAGAGAGCAAATTATACACAGTTTTTGGCAGTGGCTTCCTTTTGTGAGCAGAACTAAAATGAAAAAAAAAAGATCTGAGGATTATTTTGAATTATCAAATATTCTCAATAAAATAGTAATTTGCCTTCACAACACCTGACTGACTACAAAAATAGTTGAGCCATTAAGATAAAAAATGAAGAACATAGGGAGAAAGTTTAGTCAATGAAGTGCTTGCCTCACAAGCATGAGTTTGACCTCTGGCATCCATACAAAAAGTTGGGGAGGTAAAAACAGCATCCTAAGAGCTTGCTAGTCAGATAGCCTAACCAACCAGCAAGGCCATGTCCCAGTGAAACTCTGTCTCAAAGAACAAGGTAGAATATACTCCTGGGTATGATACCCAGGGTTGAACTCTATCTTCCACACACATGCTAACATACACACATACAGCCTCTACACATGAACATGCATTACCCACACCCATACTAAGGTAGAAAGATAGGCGATTGTCAGCATACGCATTCTGAGTAGAGGTTCAGCTCTATGGGCAATTAGGTGTATAATAAACAGTTGTCAAAGCAGTCTTTACTATTGCAATCATTTCAAAATGACAACAGCAAATTAATAAGATCTTAAGAGTAACAGGGTTTAAAATAAAGTTTTTTTTAAGAAAAAAAAGCAAAAAAATGTTCAAATGCTGATGCTTCCCAAACTTCAAGAACCTCAGAACTGCCAGGAGAGTGTAGTTTAAATGCAACACTTCCTCAGTTACTTTTTCTACAGCACCCATCCACATGATGCAGACCTAAAGTGGAAGCTGAAAATCTTTACTTTCCAGTTTCCTAAGGTAAATCTGATGTGGTGGTCCAAAGGTCATACTGAGAGCGCTATTACAGTCAAGTAGAGATACAACTGTTCTACTCACACAATGACCATTTCTAGCTAAATTATCTCTTTTATGCTCTATTAGTAAAGCCTGGGAAGCCAGAAATAACTACTTATTTATAAAAGGACTTGAAAACCTCCACAGAGTATATTTTTCCAAATTGTTCTTATAATGGCATTCAATTGGGCTCTACCAGATTGATGACATTATGGTAAAATAAAATCACAGCAGGTAGGATCAACTGAATGGCAAGCACAAAGGGAGGAGCAATTCATTAAGTATCTGACTAAAACATTTATTTGATCAAAGACAGACAATAACAACTATAAAATTCTAATAAAGATATGAAGTGTCCACTAGCATTCACAATGAAAGCAACATCAGACATCAACCATCTCTGTCAAGAAGTGAAACTACGGGGGCTGGAGAGATGGCTCAGCGGTTAAGAGCACTGACTGGCTGCTCTTCTGGAGGACCCAGGTTCAATCCCCAGCATCTACATGGCAGCTCACCTGTCTGTAACTCCAACTCCAGGGCTTCTCTAACACCCTCACACAGAAAAACATGCTGGAGAATACCAATTATCATAAAATAAAAATAAAATAAAGAAAATAATTTGAGACTATGATGTCAGAGAAGTATTACCCCAAGCATGGCATGATACTGACCTTTCCTATGCTGACTCAGTGAAGTGGAATCACACATGTCAGAAGTCTCAGAACTAGACAGCTATAGAAAAAGTTCTGCTCTAAACCATCAGACAGTTCTACATAGGGTTGTAAAAGGGTTACCAGCCACACCCAGAAATTGACCTTTTAGGGTTGTAAAAAGAGACCTTAAGACACAGAGACTTTTACGTGACCAAACCCCAGGCCAGTATAAAACTAAGAAGATTCAGCTTCATGTTTCCCTAAGTGTGCCTGAATAATGTCGTAAAAAAATGACTTGTGAGTACAAAAACAAAAAACAAAACCCTTGGAGTAAAGGAAATTTAGGAGTTTGAAATACAACAAACTCCAGCAGGTACCTTGAGTGAGGACCTTCAGTCTACTAAAAGTGACACAGTTCTAAGTTGCACTGGGGACCAACTGGCAGGACTGTCTGAGCAACCAGATTTGGAACACCACTGGACACAGCTAAAGAATTAGAAGAATACAACAGATACATCTAGAAAGAGAACAATCTAAATAAGATCAGATCATTCATCAGTGCCAATTTCTTACTCTTCAGGAAGAAAATACTCAGCTTTTCTACTCCCAACTCTGGAAAAAACAGAAGGAAAAAAGCAAGTAATAAGATGCTAATGGCTTAGCAGTCATCCTGGAAGCTACCAGTTTATATTATCCCAAATTCCCCCTAACTAAGCAACATAAACATCTAAATTCTATTCCCATCAACAAACTTGTAGATACAAGAAGGCAATCCTTGTGAGCACAGGACTGCCCAGACTTGGAGTCAAGTACAGCCTGTGCTGTGAGTTAGCAACACATCACTACCCTTCAACATCAGCCTTTGTAAGATTCAGCAGCAGTCTGTCCCTGAAACCTGCATTCACTCCAAACTTACACAAAAAAAAAAAAAAAATGACCCAGGAAAGTTTTCTTCTATAATTTTGTTAAAAATATTTTCTGGGCCTTTGAGCTGTGATTCTTCCCCTTCTTCTATTCCTAATATTCTTAGGTTTGGTCTTTTTATTGTGTCCCATATTTCCTGAATGTTTTGTGATGAGAATTTGTTGGCTTTGCTATTTTCTTTGATCCTACTGCACGTATTGGCTTTGTGGGAGCCTAGGCAGTTTGGATGCTCACCTTACTAGATCTGGATGGAGGTGAGTGGTCCTTGGACTTCCCACAGGGCAGGGAAACTTGATTGCTCTTTGGGCTAACGAGGGAGGGGGACTTGATTGGGGGAGAGGGAGGGAAATGGGAGGCGGTGGCGAGGAAGAGTCAGAAATCTTTAATAAATAAATAAAAATTAAAAAAAAATTTAAAGAAATAAAAAAAAATTGAGTGGCATCTTTTTAGTTTTAATAATTAAATCAGTAAGATGGCCCTCTCTTTGGAGAGAATGCTTTTGGGAAAATACTCTTCAAAACAGATGAGACACACACAAGAGCCAACAATTCTCTTCCTCCCGCTTTCCAGGCATCACTAATATCATCAGCCCCGTTCTCTTTTCCACAGCTCTCGATTCCCACCTATTCTCTCCAACTTTCCCCAACTTCATTCCCTGTGCTCACCACTATTCTACTTACTGTCAGACAATAGCAGAAAGACTGAGGCCTGTACGCTACTTTTAAAAATAAAATCTTTCCTTGACCTTGCTGCCCATGCCACTCCCAACTACATTTCTCTATCATCACCCAGACTCAAACGTGACATTTCTTCCTTACTGTTTTTACCAGCCAGATTCCTGAAGCCCTACAATTTAACTTCAATAAAAATATCACTCCTTGAACACACAAGTGAACTAGTTTTAGATTTGGAGACTTTGATACACAAAGGATGCAAAGTAGCACAGTAGCCTGGATACAAATACTGACCTCACAACTTATTAGTAATGTCATCTCTTGGTGTTTTGAAGACAAAGTCCTTACATTCCATACACATTCTCTGGCAAGGAAGGAAGAAATAGAAACGTGGGGCTGGAATGTCACTGTAGCCTAGGCTAACCTACTTCTCAGTAGTCTATGCTGCCCTTGATTCTCCTGTCTCAGCCTCCTGAATGCTAAGATTGCAGGCATACACCACCATATCCAATTATAAATATTCTTCTGTATCATTTTTACATATGTAAGTAGAACAGGCAATTCAAAAACTAATTTTTAAAGAAGTTCACTAAGTACTAGGTTTTTAATTCAATTCTGAGCCCTATATAAATATAATCAGACAGACAAAAATATAATAAGTTTGATTTAAATTAATATTTAAGATATTAAATTTCTTATTAAATATCTATTTAAAATACTAAAACATCCTAAGAAAGATTTTACATGTTCTAAATTCAAACTGTCCTTGCTTTCTTTGTGCAAGGCCTTTGTACGATAGTTTGAGAATTTTAAAAACAAAGTGAACTAGTCTCTGTGAGTTTGAGGCCAGCCTGGTCTACAGAACGGCCAAGGCTACACAGAGAAACCCTGTCTCAAAACAACAACAACAGCAGCAAGAAAGACAAGTGATTCTAAATCAGTAGTTTCTCTAAGTCATGATGTAGCAGTTAGCAAGCACTGATCCGCTACTGACATATGGCAGAGTGTGAGCTGAAGGAGGAACAAGAGTGAGGGATGGAAAGGTAAGCAGGGTTAGAGGAAAACTCAAGCAGGAAGCACTAGTCACCAGGACAAAAGGAGTCCCAGTTTTGATTCACGTCTAGAAAGCACAGAAGCACCCAGCCAAAGCAGGTCAGCAGCTAAGCTCAGCTTTCTTACCTTCGAAGACTCTCCTTCTTCTCTCCACGTGACAAGCAACTGTCTAAATGCTTATTGATGTGATTTTCTGAAATGCTGACCTCACAAACAGGACAAGACACTGCATTTTAAAAAGAGAGAAAGAAAGGGGAAAAATAAACAAGTTGGCACAGACAGAATCCTAGGTAATCTGCTCTTAGAAAAACCCACAAGGTACGGAAAGCAGGTAAAACTGGTTACTAGTAACTAGCTACTTTGTGGGGTGTCACACAATCAGAATCCTAGGCCTAGAGACTGAAGTAAGTTTGGAAGTTAGCTAATTAGAAAATGCTTTAGCTACAATTTTGCTACCAAGGTACCAGCAGACCATAATGCTGAGCCTTTCCCAGGCCCTAGGACTATCTTACCTTAGAAGCAATGTCAACAACACTGTAATGAGGTTACAACTATGAGTAAAACGAAGGCTCCCTACTCTGATTTTTAATAGAACACAAAGAATTTTATCTATTTTATATGCTATGGTTCATTCTAAGATTTCATCTGGAGAGAAAAAAAGTTCTACAAGAGTTGAAAACATGTCCCAATGAAATTAAAAACAAAACAGCAAAAACCACAGAAAGTGGTCCAGATTGAGATGTGGTATGAGATACATGTAATCAAAAAAAGCCCAAACACTACTATTGGCCTTCGCCTGTGGGCTGCAAGGGTTTGCTAAAGACACACGTTCCTAGTAAAAGATTAGGCCATAGAGATCAGTCAGGGGCTTTCCAGAAGAGTCTTCCCACCAGAATCCTGGCTCTGTCATCATGAGGCCACTCTGCACCACTGCAGCATGGAAACCTCAGCGATGATATGTAAACACAGAAGGAGTGCATGCTCCAGCAAACCTGTCTTTCCCATACAGGCGGCACACCAGCTCTGGTTTTCAGTTACTCTGTCAGTCTATGGTGCACTGCACAAAGAGTGAGACAACAACGTGGCTTCAGGGACATTTGGGAGGGAGAGCTAAGAGCTAAGGAAGGTTACCAAAGTACATGTCATATGCCAAAGGACATTAACCTGTGGCGTAAAATGGAGGCTTCTTTAAGAGTTAACTGGAACTGGATGAGGTGAGAGGGCTCCAATCTAAAAGTGGCATTAACTACTAAACCATTTCACTTCTGCATGAGTCATCCTGATTCTATTCTATGAAAAAGAAAAAACTCTACCTCTAAGCACTGACTGCATCATTCTGAGACACAGTAAAGTAGAACCTGGTCTATGCCTTCTTACTCCCCCCAAACGTGCTGCCTGTTAAGCTTACACCACAAGAATGAGATTTCCTTAAGTATGAAAAGGCATATATAAAAATGACTTCCTACCTTTATTTTCCAGTTTCATGGTGGATGTAGAGGGTGTCACAGGTCCATTAGCATCCGAGGGACCAAGTACTGTCTTTCCCTCGAGACTTGTCTCTTTAACCTCAGTAGAGGTGCTTATCTCCTTTTGAGGGCTATACTTCCTGTCATTTTCTTTTCCCCCTGTCTCTCTTATCAGGAACTTGTCCATCAGCCTGCTCCCCTGTTTGACAGGGTGTTTGGTGGCTTCAGCATTATGCACTTTACCAACAACTTTCTTTGAGGTGGAAGACACAGGAGATATGGGTGGTGACTCTAAAGCAAACTGCAACAGGCGAGTCCTTGAATCACACAAAAAAGAGGGGAAAAGATTGGAAACTATGATGTCAAATTAGACATAATAAACTGGGATCTTCACAATTAACACTTGTTTCTCTGAAACACAAAATTCATGGTGCAATCACAACCAAACTAAAGAGTTTCTTTTAAAACAACAAACAGAGCAATAAATCAGAATTAAAAGGTATTTACTAGGACTTCAAGTATATTGGGTTCTAGTTGCTGCTATGAGTCTTCCTCTACAATGGCTAAATAAAATCTGAAGAAATACATGAAGCAACAGCATCACTACAGCACAATCAGCACAGAAGTCTGGTCCTTACTAGAAGAGACACATAAGTGACTGACACTACCCCAAGATCTTCCTTCACTTGGAAGCGTTTTCATGGATTTGCACATTGAGCTGACATCTAAGCAGGAAAAGTGATCTCAATTCTGGGCAGAGGTGATAAGCACTGGGGACACAGGGTGCTTGGCATGTGGGCGTCATGAGAAAAAATCCTCTCAACCATCTACAATCATCTCTGGGGTACACAAAGACAAAACCCCCATGGGGGTCTGGTAGGGAAAAGACATTGGTAAACAGATGGCAGAGGTCAGGGCTGGAAAGGTGTTTAGCTTAGCCCAGCCAAAGTGCAAAGCAAATACCCTCATGAAGACATGGGGATTGAAGTGAGATGTCACAGAGGCTATACCTTAGGGAAAGGAACACTGTGCATTGTGTTTTCACACAAATGTGCATTCATGCATATGTGTCTACTTCTGTATGTGTAAATCTCATGTGTATGCATGTATATATGTGTGTAAAACTAAAATAGACTATAATAATACATCGCTCCACCCTTAATGGAACAAAAGCAAGAAGCTGGTAATTTAGTTGCTTGTCAGAACAAAATACACTATCTTTCAAAGAAAGATTTTACAGATTCTACATTTGGCCCATAATGTTCACAAAAAAAAAAAAAAAAAAAAAAAAAAAAAAAAAAAAAAAAAAAAAAAAAAAAAAAAAAAAAAAAAAAAAAAAAAAAAAAAAAAAAAAAGAAAGAAAGAAAATAGCTACTAATCAAGCCATGAAATATTCAAAAGAAACATACGAGAGGTTTATCTTTATTATGAAGTACTAGTGAATTGTATCAGATGCATTCACTATGATTATATACATTTTTCTACTTTATTTTGCTAATATAGTTACATCAGTTTGATAGGGAACCTCCTTCGGCCAATGGCCTTCGAGAGGCTGGACCAGGTTGGACGTAACCTTGGGTACCAAAAAGCATGCGGGTCCAGTCACACTCTCATTTTCTCCCTGCTTGCCACACCTGAATGTTGGATTCTGTCCCTGTTCCCCATTGTGATCTGTGAGTTCCCCTTTAATAAAGAACCCCTTATTATACCATATCCAGAGCAAGTCTGGGATTATTTTAGTCACATTTCCCCCAGTCTGGCTCATTCCCCTTTATATGCTGCCCAACGTGGGAACGAGTCCATGCTTACCAGAAACCCACCACCACACCCTGCGTTAACCAGCTAGATCATGTTTCTCATCCACAGCCCACCTGCCACTGCCTAGAATCCCGACTTTCCCCACAGCAGCCCACCGTTCTTTTTACCACATTGCGATCCACGCGGCAATACATCTGCCAACTGTGTGGCTCGCAACTGACAGAAAGCCACCAAAACGCTCTCCATGTACAGAATTGCATTAATTGTCCTTAATAACTGCTCTTAATTTGTTAAGCAAAGCATATCTGTCAGTATCTAAGTAGGCAACAAGCGCGAAACCAAAGCGAGATTGTTCACGGCTCCTCATGTCTCTCCTCCACTTTGTTTCGCCACATGGCTGCAACCACAACACCTGCTGGCCAATAAAGATTACACCTATTCACTGAAATTTCCTAAAGGATAATAGAGTGACTACTTGTGAGCTATTATTTATAGACAATTTACACTGGTATAGATTCTTGTATATTGATACAAATTCAAACTGTATTTGTTATATTGAAAATGCTACTATTTCTGTTTACAATATTTGCACACCTATGCAAAGTTATTTTATCATATTGTATGCATGCATGTTTCTACCTCTGTTTAAGGCACTTTGTATATTGATACAATTTTAGAATATATTTATCATGTGGCATTCATTATACATTTCTACCTCTGATCAAGAGAGTTATACACTGTTTACATTTTGAGGTCATTATCCTCATTTGCTGCCCAGTTTTTTAAAGATGTTTAATATTCTAATATGAAGTCTTTAAGCTACATAGGTATTAAGTATTATAGATCAATAGTCATCCATGTTTGTAATACTTATAGTTAGACTAATCAGGTTCTTTAGATACATAGACTGTATTCTGCATAGATAGGTAATCTTCAACCACTTCAAAGAACTGTAGAATATGGCATTTAAATAACCTAGGGATCTGTTGACGTGAGACACGATTGCTCCTGGCAGCACTGATCTATTTCCAAGAGCACCGAAGACACTCCACTTGGAGCTTGTTTTCTTGGCAAAACTGACCTTTGGTCAAGGAACTGCCCATGCCTCAACCACTGACAAAATGTATGGTGTCTGGACAGGACAAGCAGGATATGAGAAAAAAAAAAAAAGACTGCAATACCTTTCCAAGACAGGGTAAGATGGTTTTGAAAATATTCCTGCCTCTGAAATGGTCTGTCAGTTACTCTAGGCCTTAGCCAAAGTTGGTTGCTCCAATGCTGCAAATGAAACTTGTGCTACCTGGTGATTGCCCAGGTAACCATTTGTCTCTGTCATCTACTGTACATTTTGGAAGGTGCTTGACTGCACTTCCTGCCTACTCAAGTACTATTAGCTCCCTTCTCAGGTCTTTAATGAGGTTGAAGACTAGAGATAGGTACAGTTACTTTCCTCTTATGGCTTAGCCAAGCCATTTGTAATATAAGTCTTAGTTAGACTCCTTAAGATAGAATAATTATTGAAACATTTAGCATATGTTTCATGCTTAATATTGTTTATGCTGGCTAATTCTAATTTTTATACTTGATATGTTCTTATTGTATATAGTTTTGTATTAGGTTTAAAATTCTCTCATTTAGATAAAAGGGGGAGATGATGGGGAACTTCCTTCAGCCAATAGTCTTTGAGAGGCTTGACCAGGTTGGATGTGGCACTGGGTACCAAAAAGCACATGGGTCCACACACACACACATACACTCTGTCTCTCCTGCTTGCCACATCTGGATGCTGGATTCTGTTCTTGTTCCCCTGGGTGATCTGTGAGTTTCCCTTTAATAAAGACCCCTTATTGTACCATATTTGGAGCTAGCTTGGGATTATTTTACTTGCATTCCCCCCATCTGGCACGTCCCTCTTCATTAGTTGATTTTTCAATGTATCTTAAATTTTTATGCCTAGGTTTTACTGCTTTGCCAATGATTTTGAGATTGCTTATGAAAGACTACTGAAGTATAGGTTTCCTTTTTTTTTTTTTTCCAAGACTGGTTTCCCCCTGTGTAGCCCTGGCTGTCCTGGAACTCACTCTATAGACCAGGGTGATCTTAAACTCACAGAGATCCACCTGCTTCTGCCTCCTGAGTGCTAAGATTCTAGAATTAAAAGCAAGTGCCACTACCACCCAGCTGGAGTATAGTTGTTTTCCTTTCCTGCCTGTCTGGGTGTATCAAGATTCTGCTTCTTTCTTTACCTCCCTCCTTCCTTTCTTTTCTCTTCCTTCTATACAGGGTCCCGCTATGCAGTCCTGGCAGGCCTAGAACTCACCAATCTGATAAAATGATATAAGAAAGAAAGAAAGAAAGAAAGAAAGAAAGAAAGAAGGAAGGAAGGAAGGAAGGAAGGAAGGAAGGAAGGAAGGAAGGAAGGAAGGAAGGAAGGAAAGAAAGGCTGACTCACAACCAGTCCCAATCATGAGTGATGACAAATGAGACATCTCCCCCAAGACTGACTAAGACACAAATGTCTACCACCACCAACTCTCTTAAAACTGCAGAAAATGTCCTGAGCCAAAGACAAGAACAAAAACAGGAGCCAGGGATAAAGAGTATAAAAATTACAAAAGGAGAAAAAAAAATATTCATTTCCACAGGAAAAGTTAGGTGCAAAGTAGGTAGGGAGGGCAGTCATTATACTATGTTGCCAACTTTCATACAAATTTAAAAATCTCCCACAGTTTAAAAAAGAAGATTAAAAATAAAGAAAAGCTAAGCCAAGGGTGATAGAACATGGCTATAATCTCAGCATTCAGGAGACTGAAGCAGAAGATTCTAACTCAAGCCCAATTTCTGATACATAGTGATGCTGTATCTAAGAAAAGGAGGGAGGGAGATTAGGTAGAAGGAGGGAAATTGGGGGAAAGAAGAAGGGAAGAAGGGGGAGGAGGAAGTCGGAGGGAAAAGCAGGAAGATTAAAGAAACATCTAAGGACCTTCGTCTTAGGGAGGAAATAGAAATTAAAAAAAAAATCCAGAACCATCATCTCTCTTTCCTTCCAGTCTCTGGAAGGTTCTGAGAAAGCTCTCCTCTCATAATGACAAGGGCAGGAGTCAGTATTCAACCACAGATGAGACACCCCCGATCTTTTCAGCATAGTAGTGATAAGTTTTTGCCTTTAATCCACAATTCAGATGAATTTAATTATAATTGTCTCTGTTATTTCAAGGAACGTCAACAAAAACTATAGCTGACAGTAGCAACAAGGTCACAATAAACTATTCTTGAAGCTAAAATTAAAGTCTATTAACTTATTCCAGTACTACCTACTCTTGCCAGAGAAGCAGAATAGAAAACAAATCCTATACTCCATGAAAGTCACAAAATAAGCGGAAAAGCACAGGCTTATACAAAATATGTGAAAAGTGATAATACAATGAAACCAAAGGGCTAAGAAAACAGTTTTTGGTAGAGAGATGCCCTAGCATGTGGAAGGCTCAGAGTGCCAGTCCACACAAGAAAAACTAAACTAAAACAAAATAAAATAAGATGCGGCCAAGCATAAGAAGAT